AGGTGTTGTAGTTCCTCTTGGCTCCTAACTGACCTCCAGCCTTTTTTCTTACCCCTCTCAAACCCAGGTCCCACCTGCAGGCAGAGTGATTGCTCTGAAGTACAAATACAGTCACATGGTTCCCTTTCTAAAGCCTTCGATGCCTCCCCATGACCCACTGGGTGAAGTCCAAGTCCAGCGCCTGCCACATAGAGTTCTTCACAGCGCGGATCTTGCTGGCCTCTCTGAACTACCTCCAAACACCAGCAGAGATGGAAAGTTCTTCTCTGGGGGCCTTTCCCTAAGCCCCCAAATCCCCATCTCCAGGCTCCTCATCTGTCTCCCATCCCGTGTGTCACAAAACTCATTTATTCATGATAATAACGTGTTCCCCTTACTGTGTGCCAGAAGCTGTCCTCAGCACTGCACATGAGGTCATGCCCCAGTTTCCACGGTCACCCGATGTGATAGGTGGCAGCAGCATTCCCATTTTACAAATGAGGGAACTGAGGCAGACAAGGGTCACTCTGAGCCCTGTCAAGGCCACACGCTCAGCCACATGCTCTGACCCCCTTGGTGTCCCACCCTCCCCTTCCTGTCTGTGCTGGGCCATGCCAGAGCATCCTTCCACCCCAGAGCCCAGCAGCACCCAGCAGGCAGAGTGGGCACCCAGTCCAGGCTGCTGAACAGAAGCGAACCTAAGGGCGCCCAGCAACAGTGCCCTCTGTGCAGGGCTTGGCTCTCTGCTGCCCTCTGCAGGTGTCAAAGGCCCTCCCGCTCAAGGGAGAAGATGGAGACAAAGTGGAACTGCGCCCCTTCGCCCTCTCTGTCACCAGCCGATGGCACACACCTGCTCCCAAGCAAGGAGCTTATCCCTCCTCTGTTTCTCACCCCACCGCCACCCGAATATTTCCAGTAAGGGGGAGTCGGCCCTCCTCCTGAAGCCGCTTCTGCTGCCTCACCAAGTAGATGGAATGAGCGCGCCCCCTCCAGCCCTGCCAACCTCAAAAACACGGTGATTGAGGGAAAGAAGCCACCACGAAGGCCACACATTGTGCCACTGCGTTCATAGGAAGAGACCAGAACAGGCCCATCTGTGGGCCAGGAAGCGGACCAGCAGTTGCCGAAGGCGAGTGGAGAGCAGGGGTCAAAGGACTATGGTACAGGGAGGTCCTCTGGCAGTGGGAGGGTGTTCTGATCATGGCTCTGGGTGCACACATCCACGCATGTCCTAAAAACCCTGGCTTTGGGGCTGGACTGGAGCTCAGTGGCAGAGCGCTTGCCTAACACGTATGAGGCACTAGGTTTGATCCTCAGCAGCACCACAGAAAAATAAAACGAGTATTCTGTCCACCTACAACAAAAATTAAAAACAAACAAAAAACGAACAAAACAACACTGGCTTTGAATGGGTGAATTGCGAAGTGTGCAAACTCTGTCTCCATCAAGCTGTGATCAGGGATGGGCATAGCAGCCCAAAGAAGTGAGGCACACGTCTGGGAGGCTGTGCCCACAGAAGCAGGGAGCTGCATAGTTGGGGAGAGGCAGGTTCCCAGGAGGAAAAGCCAGGCAAAGCCTGGCCGTTGTGCACAAGCACCCATGGGGAGCCCCCCACCCTGCCTCCTCAAGTCTTCACACCCCACCACAGGACCCACACGGGCTCTGCAACCCCCACACCAGCCCTGGCTGAGAGCTCACTAAACAGAGGGCTGCAGGAACCTTCCCTCTCCTCTGCTGTAGTGTCCTCTCCCCCTCCTCCTCTGCTCTTGACCACCATCCCTGAGGGTGCCCAGCCCTCCACACACACACACACACACACACACACACACACACACATGTGCTTGGACCCAGCCCTTTCATCAACCTTCACTTTCTTACCAGGTGACAACCTCCTCCCCCCAAAATGACCACTGCATCCCCACTTGGACTTGATCTCCACAGCTCACCTGCCACAGCTCATAGCTGCCCCCTGTCTGCTAAGCCAAGGGGACCAGGACCACAGTGCTCTGAGCAACCACTTCCAGGTGGCCTGTGGCTGGCACACTGGACAAAGGTGAGATGAGTCACAGACATGGGCCGGCCTCACTCTGAGGCTAAATGAGGATCTGAGCTCATGAAAGGAACAAATCTGAGGGTGACGATTCACACGCACAGCAGAAGCACTTACTAGTAACCAGACGGTGCTTGTAATGAGCCCAGCATTCCAAACCTCTCAGCAGCTGTGGCTCGGGCTCCTCCCACCACTGTTCCACCACTTGCCTTAAAACACTTCTCTGGTCTTTGGACAAGGGGAACATGGCCTCACCGTGCCAACCTTACATAGAAACCAAGAGAAACAGGACCCTGGCCATTACTGGGGCAAAGTGGTCTTTCGTTAGGTGGCACCAGGTGTCATGGCAGGCACCAGGTGTCAGCTGCCATGGCTCTGGATGAAACCAGTCCATTCGTTAAGCAAGCGGAGAAGCTGGGCTAATAAGCCACTCTGCTGCCCTTCTTCAGGTTGGTCAATACTCTCTGTTCCAAAGAAAGTCTTCCCTTTCTCACACCCACCTGCTGGACCAGAGTCCTCCCTGCCCTGAGGGATGCCTGGCAGCCACCCGAGCCCAGAACCTCTCTAGAGAACCTCAGGGCCTGGACTTTCACAGGTGGCTCCTTCTCAGAGATTCACACACATGTAGAGGATTCTGGCACCAGGACAGGAGAGAGCTGGGTTCCCAGCCGACCCTCTCTTTCCAGCTATGAATCCAGCAAAACCTCAGCTCCTACCGGATGGAGAGTGCCTCCTCTTGGCACCCAGTCCCCTGGGGTTCGTAAATGCTTCGTGTTTTCTTGATGAACACTCAGCTCATCCATGGGAATGGCGAACTGCTTTCCCTCGGCACCCCCAGCTGCTCCCTAGAGGCAGCAGCTGCAATTCTTCTTCTTTTTTAACTGTATTTGTTCATTTTTTTAATGTGGTGCTGAGAATTGAACCCCGTGCCTCACACATGCCAGGCCAGTGCTCCACAACTGGGCCCCAGCCCAGCCCAACAGCTGCGGCTCTTTTCTTACTTACTGGTGGGAACTCAGAGGTGCTGGGGATGGGACAGAGGCCCCAAGTCAAGACTTCCAAGGCCAACCCCTTTCCAGGGTCCTCGTGCCTCGCCTGGCTGGATGTCCTGAGGGGCGACCTGCTGAGTGGACAAGCAGCCACCCCTTACTGGACGCCCACTCTGTGCTCTCCCAATCTTGCCTCATTTATTCCATCTCTACTTGAGGTCACAAAGACGTGCCCCATAGAGCAGGGCCACCAGGAAACGCCGTTCTCTCCCATCGTTCCCTCTGGCTGCCCAAGCCTGGAACAGCACAGCCACTTCTGCCTGGACCTATGCCCTAAGTAAGCCCAGAGGAGAGGGAGGGGGTGGGGCAGAGGTGGGGAGAGAGGAGGAACAGGGAGAGAGGAAGGAAGGATGAGGTCCGGGAGGGAGAAAGAAAGAGGAGAGAAGGAATGGAGGGAGGAGAGGGAAGAGAGGGTGTGAGGAAGAAATGGGCGTGGAGGGATGTGGAGGGAAGGAGGGATGGTGGAAGAAAGGGGGGAGAAAGAAAGCAAGAGAAGGACAAAGACAGCTGCTTCCCTGCGGGAGAGGACAGGCAAACCCTGGGGCTTTATTGTTTAAGCTAAAATGTGGATGGATATCCTAAAACACCGTCCCATGTCCTGCTGGGTGTGTCTGTCGTGTGTGGCAATGGACTCCCTGTCACTCAGAGTCCTCAAACCACAAACTATCCTAAAACAGCCATTTTCAGAGGGGAGTTTGGGCCACCTGGAATGGAATCCAGTTTCCCCAAAGACTAGACATGGTCCCTGTTAGTCACAACATGAGGCAGAAACTGATGAGGGACAAAAGAGCCCCACAAAGAGCACCTTGTGGCCACGGGAGGGAGGAGCCCCTCCTGCCAGGCACAGCGGGGGATGGGGGAAGGACCGTGGGAAGGAGAGCTGACAGTGCCGGTGCCCACTCTGTGCCAGCAACCTCAGCCCATCCAGGGTGAGAGCTCCGCTGTGCAGGGGCGGAGTCTGGGGCCCCCAGTGGGCGAGGCCACCAAGTCACTTACACACTATAATGGAGATTTAAATTCCCATCCAGCCTGAGAATCTGAGTAGAGGTGTGTGGTGTGTCCAGACCTCTTGGTGTACAGGGCACTGACCGCTCCTGGAGGCGGCTCACAGCCACTCCCACCGCCCCCTGTGGCCCTTGGCAGGTCTGTCTCCTTCACCTGGCACCAGGGCTGAGGAGCAGCAGCTCCAGGAGGCAGGGGTCCCACTTTACGCGTCAGCGAGTGTGTCCTGAGCAGTAGCCAGTGCTTCTCTCCAGGCAGAGTGGCTCCTGGGTACTGGGCCCCTTCCACAGCCTCACTTCCTTAGCACCTGTTCCACCCCAGGCCCCGAGGGGGCTCTAGTGCTAAGGAAAGAGTGTCACCGGGCTTCCCGGGAGTGGTGGAGGAACAGAGGCTTCAAGAACAGTGACCCTCCCCCAGGCCAGAGCCAGGAGTGGAGGGCATGGTCAGAACCACAAAGTGGGGTGTTGGAAAAACTCCCCTGGGAAGAATAGGGGAGGCCTGAGCCCTGGCTGGGAAAGCAGCAGGGGACAGGGCAAGGGGAAGGCATTCCCGCAGGAGGGAGCAGCTGGCGTGGAGGCAAGTGACACTGAGCCTGGAACCGAGTCCGGACAGTGCTCCGGAGGGCAGGAGAGGAAAGGCGCCATCCGTGCCAGATCTCAGAGTCCTCCGGTGCCAGGAAGGGGGTGCCAGGAAGGGGAGCGTGGCAGGTACCCTGGGGTCAGTGACACCACTGCAGGGCTGTACTCAGGGAAAACTGTGAGCACTGTGCGAAACTGTGACTTTCATGATGTAAGGCAAGAGCTGAGGGCAGAGGGGACCCACGTTTGAAGCAGAGACGGACCTCGGGAAGGGAGAGCCAGAAAAGAGGCCCAGAAAGAGGGAAGGAGCGCTGGAGGGGAGGGCGCGCCCGCTGCACTCACCGCGGAGCCACCGCGCCCCGGCGTGCGCGTCCTTGGGGCGGATGAGGCGGCGCTGCGCGTAGCTGCGGCCCACGTACCACAGCATCCAGAGCAGCTGCAGCAGCATGAGCGCCGTGAGGAAGCAGAGCAGGTCCCGCTTGCCCACGCCCGCGGCGTGCACCGCCCAGGCCAGCAGGAACAGCAGCCCCGCCACGAACACGTTCAGCCCGTACTGGCTGCTCAGCGTCTCCGCCAGCTTTTGCGGAACGCTGGCGCGGACCGCGGCCTGTCGAGGGGCCGGGGATTCCGGGGACCCCCGAGTCAGGAGCGGGGAGGGCGGGCAATCTGGGGGCCCCGATGAGTCCCGGTCCGAGGCGCTCGCTGGTGCTCCCGGCGAGGCGGGTGTCCCGGGACCCGCGGGCATCTTCAAGCGATCTAGCCTGGTCTCGCCTGGAGGCGTGTGAGGCCGTCCCCGCCTGTTGCTCCTGGCTTCTGTCCTTGCCTGGAGCCCTCTGTCAATCAGCCCCCTCACCTGCTGCCACTCTGATCCCTGCCCTACCCTCTTCTGCCCCGGTGCCTGGTGCCCTCTGCCAAGGCACTCCGGTCCCCTCACCTCCCGCCCCCTGCCCCAGGTGTCCACGCGCTCCGGATGCCAACTGCCCGCGTCCCTTCTCAGCAGCTGCGACCCCTGGGGTCCTCCCAGGACTCTCCAGGCTTCTGATCCCGCGCTCCCAGGCCAGCCCTGCCCGACACCCGCCCACAGCCACCCCCGCGCGCCCGGGAAACGCAGAGCAGCGAGAGTTGCCTCTCGCCCACTGGCAGAGTTGGTAGTGTAGGGACAGGGGACACAGAGGGTCGCCTGTTGTAACCCTAGGGAGTGAGCTGGGGGTGTGGCTGCGGTGGAGCAGAAGTCACAGCTTCACGGCCGCCAGTGCAGCCGGCAGCTGGACTCCCAGAGCTGGGGCGAGCCTGCGGGTGTGTGTGCGTCCGTGCGTCTGTCTCTTCTGTTGCCTACGGATTTCTGCTATCTGTGGTCTCTGTGTGGGTCGCTCCTGTATCTGACCCGGGTAGGGAAGAGGAGGAGGGGCGTCCTGTTGTGGGTCTCTTATTTGTCGGGCTGGTATGCCCGTATATTGGGGGCAATATGCTCAGACGCGGAACAGGACCCGAGCCACTTCCTAGGAAGAGATCATCCCTCGCCCTCCAAGGAAGTGCGGACTGTCTCAGCCTCAGGACGGAGCTGGGACAAGGAACGCTGCCCAAATCCCCCGACCCTCAGTCCCTCAGTCCTGGGGCTCCCATTCCAAAGCCGTCAGTGCGCACCTGGAACAGACCCCTCCCAGAGAGGGCTGTGTTCCTTAAGGACTCCACCCTGGTGCCACTAAGAGGAAATCCAGGTAGGTTTCTGAAGAAAACATAAAATAAACCACGTCCTAAGGTTGAAGGTGACTAAGATGAGGGGCAGGGACCTCAAGGGCACAGGAAAGAAGAATGTAGAACCTGGGTATCTGAACCTCGGAAAAGGCAGGAGGAGGAGCCTGGCTTGTGAGCACCTTGTGCAGTACCCAGGGTGGACTCTCATATGACCCCTGCCCTGTAGTCTTGTTTTAGGGACAGAGGAGGCAAGGCACTGAAGATAGCAGGAAACAGTTTTATTTGGCTGCAGCCAGGTTCAGCGGGCACAGCTTTTGCTGTAATCAATTAATCCCCTGAACCCCGAGTTCAGGGAGTTTCAGAGTTTTATACCCAGCGTGGAAGGGGAGGGACTCAGAAGTTCACAGTCTGCAGAAGTTCACATAAAAACAGCTTTTTCTTTCACTGTTCTGGGCAAGTTAATTCTTCAAGGACAGCCCCTGAGAAGGGGAGAGCTTCTTCCCTCCCTCCCTCCCCTGCCAGCTGTTACCATGCAGCCCATTTGTAACTTATCTTAAAAATGTAGACATCTCTGTGAAGCCCCAGCTCAAGGCCAGAGGCCCTGTTTGCACATTTCTACAAAGTACTATACTGGATATGTTTGTGAAAAACTAGTGAGGGGGTGTCCAGCACCTGGAGTGCTGGTATCTTCCCGGCCAGTGGCCAAGTAAAACAGGGCGACTCGAAAATAGGAAGTTTATCTACATTGAACTCTTTAGCAGAGACTCTTTTGCTGACAGTCCTAAAATCAGCCATGATGAAGAGGGCTTTTCTGTGGAGAAAAGTGGTGCCACTTCAGTCTAACACTTCTCTTACTGTCTTGAAATTCTTTATTTTTAAACCAGGGGGCCTTTTCCAGTTCGTATTGGGTCCAGCAAGTCACAATAACCTGTCCTGACTGCTACAGGGGGACCGGAAGCCCTGGGCCCCCGCAGAGAATCAGCCTGAAGACCTGCCTTACCTGCCCCCCCACACACACACCTGCCTTTGATCTACACACTTCTCCACAGTGAGGTTCCGTTCCAGGCACTCGGGATTCAGCAATGAGGGCTGCTGGTGTGGAGCTGCTGTGCAGATGGAGATGGGCTCCGGGGACACCTTAGCACTGGCTGGTGAGCTGAGGCTTAGCTCTCCCCTTCAAGGAACCCAGGTCTCAGAGGGGGAGACAGAGGAGACTGCTAGGAGGGGAGGTTGGAAGGAGGGTTGAGGTTCCCTGTCTGCCAGGAAGGCCCAGAGGTCAGGGAGGAGAATACACCTGCACAGGCTTTATATCCAGGAATAATGGGCCAGGTGGAGCCAGGAAGGGCACCTGGAAAGATGCCCCAGCATGTGCAGAGACAGGAGTGTGACACACAGCCTGGACTCAGGCCGTTTCCGCCGGGAGCCCTGTGTCCTCAGCTGTGTCCAGAGCCCAGCCAGCATACACACTCAGAAGTAAACCAGTGGCTTCAAGAGTGAACCACTGCAGGGGCGCAGGAGCAAGCATAGAAGGCCTGGGTCTCCTCGCTGGCCACAGAGGGTGTGGGACTGACCCCAGGAGAGGCAGCTTGCCCACCACACCATGCCGTGCCCACATACCTGGCCCGCCTTCTCACCAAGCGCTCCTGCCACGCAGACACCTGTGGCCTCTCTCCCACTAGAACAAAGGCTCTGTGGGAAAGACTTGGGCTTGCCCACTTCCGTGTCTCCAGCACATAAGACAGTGGTGCCTAGCACATAGTAGGTACTCAGTGAAGATGTGTGGGATGGGTGGGCGGATGGTAGCTGAAATAAAAGGTTCTTTACTTGGCCTGCTCTCCTGTGTTCCCTGGGGACTTGTCCCCCTCTCCATCACATTTATTCCTCACCAATCACAGTAACTGTATTTTAACCCTTTCTGACTCTGAGCTTCCTAAAGACAGAAAATGTCTGGTTCTTCTCTTGGACACCTAGCATGTGCTTTTTGTGATCCATGGAGAAAGGTGCTGAGCACCTGCTGTGTGCGAGGTCTTGTGCCAGGCCTGGGGACAGCAATGAGAAAGTCACAGTTTGTGCCATGTGCCATGAGAACCTAGGAGAGGGAGAACCTGGTGCCTAGTAGGGCACTGGGACCCCAAACCTAAGCCAAACTGCTTTTATTTTACCTCATAGTTTTACAAAGCACTTTCCCATCCATTATGTCTCTCATAAATTGGCTTGGTTTAACATGGCTTTGTAGGGAAGGAAATATTAAGAGGTGATTATATAGGGGAGTTCTTGAGTCAGGCTTCGGGATGTGGATTGGACTCCAACACTTACTCCTGTGTGACCCTGAACAAATAACTAAGCCTCTCTGAGTCTCAGTCTCTACATCTATAAAATGAGGTTCTTAAAAATGACTCTGCCTAATGTTTCTATGAGAATAAAATGAGTTGCTACATCAAAAGCACTTCGGAAGTTACCTGAGATTTTCAGTGTACCAAGACAGTTTGGACTGAGCATTCCAAGTGTCAGACACTGAGCTGAGGCTGTGGCAGAGGTAGCCAGTGTCCATCAAGTGCTGCTTTTCTATCTTGTAGTTTCTGGGAAACGACAATCCAGTGGGGGACTCTGCTTCCCAGACCCCTGGCATCTAGAATGGCCAACTGGCAAGTTCTGAACAGTGGCATATGATCAGAAGTGATGTGCACACTCCTGGCCCAAACCAGGAAAACCTCCTTCAGGATCCTCCATGTTCTGTCCTCCCCTCCCACCAGCTGGATGTCGACACCAACACCTAGAGCCACCTTGCAGCCACACTGAAGATGGCAGAGCCTGTCAGCAGAGTCCCTGCTGAAGCTGGAGCTTCCACAAGTGAGAAATAACATCCCCTCCGGCAACGCCACTGCAGAGTCAAGACATATTTGTTACAGCAGCTAGACTTACCTTGTCTCACTGAATATGAAGATAACTACACTCAATGCCTGTCTGAAAATTATGTGAGACTCCGCCTCTGAACTACCTTCTTTTTAAAAATGTTTTTATAGGGCATGAATAATTGCATAATATGGGGTTCACTTTAACATGTTCACACATACATGGATTATGATCTGCTCCATTTTGGCCCCTAATACCTTGATTCCTTTTTTATATTTTTAAAATTATTTTTATTTGTTCTAATTAGTTATCCATGACAGTAGAATGCATTTTGACATATCACACATAAATGGAGTATAATTTCTCATTCTTCTGATTGTACATGATGTAGAACCACACTGGTCATGTAGTTATATATGTGCATAGGGTAATAATGTCAGATTCATTCTTTTATCCTTCCTACCCCTGTATCCCTCCCTTCCTTTCACTTCCCTCTATCTTATCAAAGTACCTTTATTCTTCCCTAGCCCCACCCCCTTATTATGAATTAGCATCTGTATATCAGAGAAAACATTTGGACTTTGGTTTTTGGGGATTGGCTTATTTTACTTAACATGATATTCTCCAGCTCCATTAATTTACTGGCAAATACCATAATTTAATTCTTCTTTAAGGCTGAGTAATATTTCATTTTATATATATATATATATATATATATATATATATATATATATATACCCCACATTTTCTCTATCCATTCATCTTTTGAAGGGCACCTAGGTTGGTTCTACAATTTAACTATCATGAGTTGAGCTGTTATAAACATTGATATGGCTGTGTCACTGGAGTAAAGCATAAGAAGTAAATTCAAGAATCAATAAATGGGATGGGTTCAAACTAAGAAGCTTCTTCTCAGCAAAGGAAGCAATCAATAGCATGAAGGGGGAGCCTACAGAATGGGAGAAAATCTTTACTACATACACTTCAGATAGAGCATTAATCTCCAAGATATATAAAGAATCAAAAACCTCAACACCAAAAAATAACAACAACAAATAACCCAGTCAATAAATGGGCTAAGGAACTGAACAGACACTTCACAGAAAAAGAAATACAATCCACCTACAAACATATGAAAAAATATTCAACATCTCCAGCAATTAGAGCAATGCAAATCAAAACTACTCTAAGATTTCATCTCACTCTAGTCAGAATGGCAATTATCAAGAATAAAAGCAACAATAAATTTTGGCAAGGATGTGGGGAAAAAAGGTACACTCATACATTTCTGGTAGGACTGCAAATTGGTTCTTTTTAATAAGCAGTGAAATG